CGAGGCGCGGGGGCGGCGGCGCGTGGCCCGTGAGGGGACCCGGGGGGAGGGGGGGAGGAAGGGAGTGATCCTGATCCCGGGAGAACCCCTCATCCCATCCCATCCCCATCCCCATCCCCATCCCCGGGAGGCCGCAGTGCAGCACCGAGCGCGGCCGGGGTTGTCACCACCGGGGCCAGCCCGACCCCCGCCCGGTGCGCTCAGCCCCGGGACCAGCGACCGCTGTCAGCGCTAAACAAAGTCATCGTCAGCCCCAACACCCAAATCTGGCCGGTGCCGTGGTTTCATTTTCTTGTTGTTTTTATTAATCTCCAAAGCTGCTAATGAGCCAGCAAAATCCGCGCAGTTTCCGCAACGAGCACTTGCCCAAAACTTGAAACAGTCTTTACATTTCAAGTTCATCTTCCGTTTCTTTCCGTAAAACCTGAACTTTAATTCCTCGCGGCAAAGGAAAAGCTGGAATAAATATTACAAAAGTTTCCCTGCAATTAAAATTCTGCCCCCTGCAATGTTGTGCCGCAGCAGTGGCCCTGCCCCGGTCAGAGCCTCCCCAAAGCCGAGGGAAGAAAACACTTTTCATTCAGCATTTTCAGAAACCTTGGTAAATAAACTTCTTGACGTGAAGTTTTAGGATTGCACCAAACTTTTTAACAATATAACTTGAGATGTATCCAACACTTTTAATAGAATATCTGTTCTCTGATTATATAATAAAACAGAACAAAAGTCATCAATTTGCACTACAGAACTTGGGTTGCTGTGGAAACCTTCATTATTTATTTTTTTAACACGTGCAACTACTGTTTCCCCACCGAGCAGGGCCAGCTTTCTGTTTGGGTTTTTGTTTGGGTTTGGGATGCTGGGTTTTGCTTTCCTGTGTGGAGTGCAAACAGTAAGTGGCCAAGAATGAAACGTGCTTGCACATTATTCATTTAGAAAAACAACTTATTCAATCCTACCTTAATTCATATTCACATTTTGGCATTTATATTTACAATAGCTTCATTCCTTCCCTTCCTGAGGCACTCCCACAGCATGCAGAAATAGCTTTTTGAAGGGACAAAGCATGACAAAGTCATTGAGTTGCATCTGTTTGAGATAGGCTGCTGCTGGGTTTGAGAAACTGGTATTGTTTTTTTATCTCTATATATGTAAATAATAAATACCTTTTCATCTCTTCCTAGTACTTTGGGAGCAGAAAACCTCTGTAGTGACAGGAATTGGTTAATTCTTCCAGGCTCTTCATCGCACAGCCTCAGCACTTCACGGATTCTTCTTGCTGCCAAGCTGACCAGCACTTAAACTGATACTTTTCCTGCTTAAGAAAAAACACAGCAGATTTTTTTTCCAAAATACAACCACGAGTAAGTTGACTCTTCCCCTAAAGTAAATGTGGACTGAAAGTGAACTTGGGAAGGTAAGGTCAGAACCTGGCAAGGTTAGATAAACTCTGAGGAGGACACCAAAGTCGTTAACAGAAGGGAACCTGGAAGGAACTAATAGTGTACAAGAAACACCTTGTTTAAAGGCCATCCACGTCCTGATCATGGTCATACAAATGACAACATTACCAGGGACAGTCACACTGATGGTACATTACCTGTATTTGAAATACAGCACATACCATTACATATTTATTCCTGACACTTCTCTGCACTGCTGCTGGTGATACCTGTTTTCTGAGAGGGTCAGCAGAGGGGCACGTGACCCACTTCAGAAAGGAAAAAACTCTGTAATTTACTGCAGAGTCAGTGGAATTCAAGTTTGAATAAGTTAAAGTTACCAAATATATTTACACCTGTTCCTCTGATCTGTGCGTTCACCAGTTTAATGAGGCTCCTATCACCTCTACATAAACACTGATTGCCTTTGTAAATACTCTCAGCTCAAGTGTAGCAGTGAACAAATACCTCATCCTGCAAGGGGGGCAGAGGCACTAATCTCCCAGGCAGCAAGTTTGGATTCAGGATTACCCACGTGCAAAGGAGAGACCAAAGCAAACAGCGACTGCTGCAGGGCTGCAAAACAACTATTTCTTCTGTCTCTTTTTCTCTCTGCTCTCTTAACAGAGCTCACACCTGCCAACTTCAATATTCATGCTACTCTGGAAAGCATGGGAAAAACATCATAGCATTGTAGTGAGCAGAAGGAAGAAATTCTCAGGGTTATGTGCCCCAGGGTTTGCGTTGGTTTTGTGGGTTTATTTTCTGGAGCGGTTTTTATTTTTCCTTATCATAAAGATTTCACGTTAAAAAAACATCACCACAAAATTGGAATCCAAAGCCTGCTTCTATTTAGATAGTTTCACGGTTTTGTTAGGAAGTTTTAAAAACTGACATCAGCAATCAAACTAAATTTCAAAACCTATTGTAAATGCCAGAACTCCTACAAAAAGAACTTCTTTTGGTGGACATCGTGGGTCCCAGAAATTAATGATTGTCAGAGAAAAGTGGCCTCCCCTTGCAGAAGTTTCCTGAGGTGCCGTTCTGTGGCTTTGCCACTAAACCCTTGTGTTGCACTTGTATTGAAATAATGGCAAATACAGGCCTCAAGACCTTATTTAAATGAACCTGAAGTCAAGTCAGCAGGAAAGCACTAATCCCTGAGTAACACTGGCAGAAGTTACTGACCATCCACTGTGTGCAGGAGCTCCTGTGTCAGAAGTATTGTGAGTTGCTCGTGAGTCTGTTACTGCAAACACAACTGTCCTTACCCAAAGAGACTGTGCATTAACATTTAACACAGTATTAATTAATCAAAATACATTAGGGGGTTTGTCTTATATCACACTATCTTGCTGTAATATAGATGTGATCTGAAAGACAGCTGGATTGGGATTGGAGAGATTTGACAAAGTTTCCTTCTCTTAAATAGATCAAGGGAACTGCACAATCCTTTCAAATGCTCTGCAAGGGACAATGGAAGGTCAGAGTGCAGAAAGCAGAGATTCTTATACCTTCCTGCAAGCAGATCTTTCTCAGTTGTCCCAGCCCTAAGGTATCATGGAAGGTATCACCCTCTTGCCCTCCCTTTCAGGTGAGAGCAGCCCCACACTTTACCCTTTCTCCCCATTCTCAGGCCGATACTTGCTGGTAACTTCTCCTTCCATTATTAATTCAAACCTCTGTTTTAGAAACATGGCCCACAACCCTTACTATCAGAAAAAAAGAAATAAATCAGGGATTAATTTTAACTCCCTCTGACAGACAATTTATTTGGTTGAATTACCTCCTTTTCTACACTTGAGGTTCCAACTTGGCCTGTTTGTTTCTTTAAAGTTCATATTATTTCCCGTTTTTAAGATGGATTAAGCCATTAAACAACTTGACTTTCCCATTAAAATATAAATTCCTCACCTTTCAGGGAGAAACAAAAAGACACAAAGCAAATACACTCTACCACCATCTCTGATGACTTCACAGGTCCTTTGGAAGCACCAAGTGTTTCTCTTTTGTGCCTCACAGTAGGGATTTGTGTGTCCCAAGAACTGAGTTACTTCCTTTGATGAAGTCATCTCCTGGAACTTCTAAGCAGGAGGTCTCAGCTTGTGATGTACAGATCCAAATTCTGGTTTTTGTCCTATTGCACAGGGCCATCTCATTAGGAATGGAAATGCAACAAATGACAGCAGTTTTTCCCTCTAAGGAATCACAGTATTTGTGCCCCACAACTTGCGACTACTAATATAACTCTATTTGTAATATTTTACTCTATTTGTAATATTGCTTGAAAACAAACTCTTAAAACTAGAAAAGACCAAGCTTTGCATAAGGACAGTGTTGTTGTGCCACCATGTCCCAGTCTGTATGTTTATATGTTGCTTGCATAGAAGGTACTTGGATTAAATCAGGAGAATAATATTTATTTATTTTTAGCCCAAAAGCAGAGAATGAACTGACTAATGCTTTAATACCGACATGTCAAGAACAATTACCAAAAATTTACAGTGCAGGTGGTAATTATTTAGTCAGATTATATAAAAAAGATCATGCCAAACAAATGTTTTCCTGGTACTAAAGAAACAGAGTATTTTGCTCTTCAATTAGTAAAAAAGGAAAAGATTCATTTGAAAATTCGTGTTTCATGAATAATTAAGAAATTTGAGGAAAATACTATTGCAGCTTCATTCTTATTTATCCATAATGCTCTCACTACAGCAAATTACCTATTAAAGGAGTGAAAAACCATAGAATGTTAATTAGCACTGTTGCGACAAATTTATACCTTTTCCTATTAATTTCTTTTAATGTTCAGGATATAAGAAACCCTACCACAAGTAATAATTAACTCCTATTTTGTGAAATGGGAGTTCAGAAGCATTTGTGAACTCTCCTTGTGAACGTGCTTTTTTTTTGGTCTTTTTTCTCTTTTCATTTCTGACCTTATGTATTTCTTATCATTTATGTATTTATTGCTGTGAAAGAGACCTCTTTCATGCTAAGAAATTTGTACTATTGAGAGAAAACATCAGAGAACTGATTTCATCACTCATGGAAATGACCAGGTTGCTGATTAACTGATTTGAGCTATCACACAACCCATCTTTAGCCAAATCTCTCCAAGGGAATGCAGAGTTTGGGGCCGGTTTTTTTAAGTGCTCTCCCTAATGCTGTCACTTTGTTTCAGGGACAACCGAACCTTGGTTCATAGAGAAGCACCTAACACACCTCCAGGGAATAGCGGCTGAGGACTGAGGAGTTCTGGATCCTTATTTGCACACAGCGATGATGTGGAAAAAGGAAAAGTGACAGATGTTTTCATCCTGGACTGGCTGGAAGGGCAGGGCAGGGACGCCTTCTCCTTGCCGAGCTTTCACTTACACTCCGCTGCTCCGTCCCACGTCACTCACAGCAGCCTTAGGACCAAATTAAAGCTCCCGCGGTGTCAGTTTTTAGAGGAGTCTCCCCTCATGCCGCTGGATGCAGCAGATGGAGCGGCGCGCTCCGCTCCCGGCTCCCAGCCCGCTGTCCCTGGTGCTGGAGCCGCTCCCTTCGCCGCCGCTCCCGCTCCCAGCGGGGACCCGCTGGATCCCGGCGCTCCAAGCCCTCCCCTGGCATGAAGGGCCCTTCCAACCAACCTCCCGCAGCGGCTGTGGCAGAGGACGAGGAGCCCTCCCGTTCCCACAGCTCGGCATTTCCCAGGGAGCGCCAGCTGGCCGTGCTGTCAGCCCCGGGCACAGGGACCAGCCTCAGGGCTGGCCGGGACCTCGGGACCTGTGCAGAGACCACGTTGTGATCTGGAAATAAAGCCAGCACTACCAAAAACAATTGGAAAAACTGGAATTTTGAAGTGCTGAGACGGATAATTTGAAGTCATGCTGGACCTATCCAGGTTCATCCCATTTTTCCTTATGGGAATGCAAGAGCATGCAGTTGAGCTGTGGCCAAACCTCCCCAGCTCAGCTACTGAGACCCACAAGTACAGAAACAGTCAGTCATGGCAGAGTGCTCAGTACCCAAGAAACACTGCTGAACATTTCCTACTATTGTACTGTTCATATCAACTACATATTTCTATTTAAAATGTGGACATCCTATGTGTTCATCTGTGAAATGATTTGGATTATTTTTATCTAGATAAATTCAGTATTGTGCATGTGTATAATCAAAATAAATAACATATATGACACAATAGTATATAAAAATTTAATTTTGTTAAGATTGGAATAATTAAATTGTGGTTAGTTTGGCAGATAGCCAAATCTGATTTCTAACTGCTGGTGCCATGTGCCCAGAGTGAGATCCTTCGCTTAACAAATAGAGGACAGTTAAGTCTTCATATAAGCTTCATATTCCAAAATTAATTTGAAATATATTCCTTGTGAAAGGAATACTGTATTCCTATGTTTAAGAGAGAGAGATTCTACACATGTTCCCAGCAGCCAAAACCACTTTGGTCTTCTGGAAAGCAGATTTTTGAAACTTCTTCTCATGCACGTCTCAATTACAACTACATCCAAAGACACCTACATGTGTCACTTAGGTTTACTGGGGAGAAAAACTGACAGAAATTTATCTGAAGAGCTTTGACCTGTGTAATGAAAGCAAGATCTTCTTGAGCAGAAGAAAAGAAAGCAGAATATTTTGTTACCTGACACAGCAGAACAATGAGTGTAACAGTTCTGCAGACTGGCGCGTCCCTGAGTAGAAAGGATGAAGTTACTGTAAATCCATCCAAATACTCACATCCAGCTCTGACAGTGAGTCAGCACAAAGTGACCAGCAGCTGATTCATCTGAATAACAAAAGCTGAACACCTCATCAGCTGTCCCCACACGGAAGTAATCAATAATCACACAAATTCATTCTCCTGCCATAATGTCCTACAGCCCAACTGGCAAAGAGCTCTTCATACCCACGTGTCTTCTACTCAGAGGCAGAGGAATAAATTCCAGTGACATCCACACGTCCTCTCGAGGGTGTTGAATCTTCACTTTTCCTTAGTGGTGCTCCTGACACTGTGGCAATGCAGTAAGTACATTTGTGACAGTTGTTCACCACACAAAAAGGGTTCGGACCCAAGTGACCCCCCCAGCTCAGGGAACAGCCCTCCTGGAAACTCAAGCAGTGCAGACCCAGCCTGGAGCTCCTCCAGATGCTGTCCAGCTGCTACAGACACACCAACAGCTCATCTCTGTGAGAGGCACCTTCCTCAAAAGCAGGAAGGAACATCCTGATATTATGAAGTGACTGAATCAAGGAATTGGATCAGACAGCAGGAGAAGAAGCCTAAATTAAACAGGTTGTATCCACACGGAGAAAAATTGCCATCTAAGATTGTGCAGGTGCTTTGTGTAAAGGCAAAGAATGTGCCCTGTGTCTCCTGTAAAGCCATGCAATAAAACTGTAATTCCTTGTGTTTCATTAACATATTAAATAAGCAGCAACACAAATCAACATAACGGCCAGGAGCGGAATTGCTGAGCTCTCCCCAAAAGCTCTCCCCAAAACATTCCCTCTCAGGGCAGGCCACTCAAAGAGGGAAGTACATTTATGTTATAAAGTGGTTGATGATGGGCACAGGATCTCACAGGCAGAAAAAAAAAAACAGGGAAAGGAGTTTAAAATGATTGCTCATAAACCAGCTATGACCCAGGCCAAAAATGGAAGTTTTGCAGACTTTATTGAATCCTTCCATTCCTTCAAAGGGAAGGGAACACCTGGAGAAGAGTCTGCAGAAGCTTTTTTACAGGCATACTTTTACTTACAGCACATGACACAGAGTAAAGGATGGATTCAGTAAGAGGATTTATTTTTTATATATGATTCATAAATTATCCACCATCAGGAGCAAGACCACCAGGGTTTGGATTGACTGTGGCCACTGCAACCTTCCTACACAGGGTGAACAACCTCATGTATTTGTTTAGTAGTACTAAACCCAGCAACCAACATAAATAACAGGCCTGTCAAGCAGAGTGCAAATACAGACTGCAAACAGATCTCTCAACTGCCCAGCTTATGAAGATAAAATCTGGATAATTTTTAATAATCCCTTTTTTATTCCCTATTGGTTACAAAGAAGGATCTCCAGGAATTTATACTCAGCACACACTGCTACAAATGTGTTACCTTTTAGAATTAGAGAAGTGCAAATTTTGATGCAATTATGACCTTTTCCCACCAATATGAAAACTTTTCTTTAGGCCTCTGATGCATCTCGTTCCCTCCTGCAGTTCAAAATCCTGTTTTGTTCTCAAGATGCTTGACTGTATCAGCTTGAGCTGAACCACGACAGCTGCTCCCTGTCACCCTCCAGACAGGACACATTCAGCAGAGATTTAAGATTTCAAGCTGCTGTCTGGAGGAGCTAAAGGCAGGATTTCCAGAGGACAGGTAATCTGCCACTAATACTAATTCTGTTGCAACCTGGTAAAATCTGTTGCTCACCCACTAAATTCACTCTTCCTTACGAGTTAGTTTGGAATTCACGTTAATTGCTGCCGTTTGCAAACTGCTCATTCTACCACAAATAACGAAGGCAGTGTGAGTACCTTTTATGAGATCAGCTCAGGTAACTCTGAGGGAAGAAATGGACACGTTTTTGGGTGCAAAAGCCACCAAAGAAATAATGTTATTAAAATAACTTCCAGTGCATATAAAGAGGCAAGGACTGGAATTTATTGCACAAATGTAACATTTTATAGTTGAAATTATGCAGTACAGCTTTTCCTTAAAGAATATACAAAAATATAACTAATAAAAAGAGAAATAAATTAATATATATCAAAACAATTTAAGTGACATATTTTACTGGTGTGTGTGAGTTTGCTCTCTGAATAACTAATAATTAACCTGCATGTCTAATGCATCATTTAAAAGAACCTGATGAAAACATCTAAGGAAAATGATAATGAAAAGTGATAAAAATAAATTGCAGAAATGAAGTGCAGAAATACAGATATACTTGTGTTATGAAACAAGGAGACAACAGAAATGACAAAACAGAATTTGTCTGAGCCAAAATAATTTTGGGGAATGATAAGCAAACAAATGAGTTTGCTCAAGATTTTCAAGAGCATTCTAAGATTGGATTTGATGGGAAAGCTTTTCAATTTGATTGCTTCTAGAAATTGTATCAAGATAGGAACTAACTTTCTGCCCAGAGAGGGGAAACTAAATGTTCCTGTTAGCATTCATACATTCATTACTGTGAGAGCTGCCAAATTTCCTTCCCAAATATTTAACCAGTTCTCATGAAATTACACCATTGTGAGTGTGATTGTGATTTGCAAAAAGGACATTACAAAAGAGTTGACCAAACAACCTTGGAGCAAATGCACATAATATGATTCAGTCTAAATGAAATGAAATGCTGAACAAACACTGGGCTCGATCTTGATTTTAGAAGAATCTTTGAGTAACTATGGTAACTGTTTACTGAAAATAATTGGGCTGAAAAACTTATGAACTTGAACATGAAGGTTTAGAATGTATTTAATTTGTAAATAGATTACTATTTCTAAAACAGAATACCAAACAGACCTCAGTAAGACTGGGCTCCAAAGGAACAACCACCCCAAAGGATGGTAATAGTGCAAATGGAAAACCTAAAAGGACTTCTAAAAGGTCTGGAGTCAGAGAGACTGGTGGTGCAGCCAAGGAGAGAAGAGGAACCAGGGCACTGGGATGAAACAGGCCAAATCTTTCCACTGAAAACAGAGCACTCGACTGAGCCTGGGTGAAAACTGTAAGGAACAACTTGGGAACACTTCAGGCACTCATATCACCCACCTTCCAGCAAGAATAATGAGACTGAAAAGGAAGGCTACAGAACAATTCAGGAAATGGAAGATCTGTCACACGAGAAGAGAGGAAGACAAGAATCCTTGCTTGCCCAGCAGACAGAAACAAAGACAAGACACAGTTATGTCAGGAGATCATTGCCAGCCCAATGTCCAATAAAAGGACCTTGTTACAGTGAAAAGTTTGTCTTGTATTAGATTGCTACAGTAATAAAATAATTATTTTATTCAGAGCATTTTGCCCTATTTTTTTATTAAATACATTTATCACCATATTCTTTGGAGGGAGGAATAGTTACATATCATGTAACCATGATGAAAACAGCTAAGAAGTACAATAACCTGCCTGGCTTTTTGCTGCTGTAACCACCCAGAGATTAGGCCCAGGAGCCAAGGTATGTCCCCAGAACATTCAGTAAGTGGTTTGTATGGGCACTGACCTGTTCTTCCCAAACAGAACATGACTGATGCAAAGAACACCCTCTTGCTGACACTCCAGGAGAAACTCAGCACAACATTAGAAAATAATTCTGAGGCCGAGACACCATCTTCTGATCAGAGCCAGGAGCAGCTGTGAACTTTTCACAATATTACAAATATACTACAACTGATCCTATAAAATGAGAGTGAACTACAAGAGATCTGTACACAGTGAGCTGGGTGGGTTACAAAGACAGAGCTACCTCAAGTTAAGAAGTCACATTTTTATGTTTTATTCTATATATGTGTTTATGGAAATTGCAGCCACTTGATTCAGAGGCCAATCAAGGCTACATGATTTACTCAAGCAAGCTATAAAATAGTGATGAATCCTACGCAGGCAACTTTGCATTCTGAAGCTGTAAGACATCTGATATGCTCTAGGAAATTACTTTCACTAATTCAGATCTTTACAATCCACAGATGCCTAATTTCTCTAGGATTATTTGCTGAAATATTAAAAAAAAAATATATTTACAACAAATATGAATCATAGGAAGCTTCCCACTTAATGTCATATAAATGTGTTAGCCAGAGTGCTTGTGGGACAGAAGTATTATAGTATTGAAAAACATAATGGAAATTGTCATCCCTAAAATTCCACTGATGTGCATGCTGGGCATTACTGCTCTAATAAAGATTAACACAACACTCTGGAGATTTTCCTACTGTCACCAGCAGTAGCTCAGTCCAGACAACTTGAATGAAGGAATCAGACCATAATCAGCCCTAGAACTAATCACAGCAAACCTCAAACTGTTACAAGGCTCAGTGAGAGCAACATGAAGCTGAGATAGATTCAGATGAAAAGGGAAACAATTACTTGTAACTGATTTGCAGGAACCTGATCCTACCACAAAGTTTTGCATCCCTTTCATGCTGCAGCATACTGTGCCAACTCCTG